AAAAGTGCAGATTTAAAGCCAATCTGCTGATGTCCCTGCATACCCAACCTTAATCTGCACCTTGGAGCCATCTCAGAGCTAACTTGGGAGATGTGCTCCAGGAGCAGACCAAACCTTCCCCAAACACTAAGTCTTCAGTCATGGGAGCAGGCTAGGGCTAGCCTGAAGGAACCCCCTCCAGAACACGTATGGTGCAGCCGCCAGCTTTCTTCTTCCTTGCACTGCAGGGTGTAGGGATAGGGGGCAAATATGGGGAGCTCTTTCTCCGTGCAGCTGACCATGATCCCAGGCCCCTATCTGCTCTGGCTGGACCTCCACAACCTGCACAGCTGGGTCCACTCCAGGTGGCACCATGAAGAACCTCCTCCAGCACCAGACGAATGGAGGCAGCTCTTGCCAGTGCGACAGCACATGCCCAAGCACYGGGTGCAGGATGAGCCCCGCTGGTCGCTCGTGGGCTGCAGCCCCACATGAGCTGTGTCTGCAGCCCTTGCCTGTGGCACAGCTTGTGACACGGGAGAGATGGTGAGCCAGGTGTTGCTGACGCTCAGGGACGAAGCAGCTTCTACCTTTGCAAAACTGCTTGTTAAGAGCTGCCTTTGCTGTTGTTCTCATCCATGCTCCAGGCAGGCGATGCTGAGGGTAGGTTTGGGCGSGGGGGGCGGGAAGAAGCACTGATGGATTTATCTGGAGAGAAAGTCACAGATTAAGGATTGCTCAAGCTTCATAAACAGACCCGAGGGRAAAAAAAATAGGTCAAATCACATTGAACTTCCCAGTGAAAGAACCCAATCTGAGTGCTGGGCCCTGGGGATGCTCCGAGTGGAGGCAGCAGCCTGCAGGGAAGGGGGCGGCCGCAAGGTACCTCGGGGAAGGTGAGAGCTGCGGGYGCCAGCTCCTCAGCAGGATGATCCTCCTGTATCCTCCTGCAGGGGAAGCACCCAAGGGTGCCCGTGCCATGAAAGGTACGGTCTCTTTTCCCTGGACTAARCATGCCCTGGAGTTACAAGAGGGAGTTCCATGGTGAAATGAAACCCCTAGGGCAGCATGCAAGGGTGATCTGAACTGAAGCCCTCCTAGCAGATCCTGGAGGATCCTAAGGGCAACAGCAGCTGTTCCCTCCAGCTCCAGAGTGAGCAAAGGAAGACAGGCAGCAGGGAGCAAAACATGACACAGCCACGGGAGGCACGGCATTAGTGACAGGAGGAGCCTGACAGGGCCAAGAGATGTGTAAATAAAACAAAGGAGGTCTCCTGGGGGCACACGGCCACACCAGTTTAGCTCAGAAAATCATCTGCTTTTTCATGGGAAAGATCTATGCGTTGAGTGAGCCTCGAGAGTGAAGTCAAATGGTGTTCAGGTCTTTAGGAAGCGATTATTTAAGGAAAGGAAGGAGTTCCTGGGCAAAGAGCAGCGCTGAAATAAACTCAYAGAATCACAGAACACTTGAGGTTGGCAGGGAGCTCTGGAGATCATCTCCACTGTTTGACCCCTCTTTACCATAAAGTAGTTGTTTATTATTATTATTATTATTATTATTATTATTATTATTATTATTATTATTATCTTATTCTAAGAAGAATTTCCTGTGTTTGAATTTGTGCCTATTGCTTTGCAACCTGTCATTGGGCAACTCTGAGAAGAGTCTGGTGCTGCCACCTTTCCTTCTCCCACCCGGCATTTATACACACCGATAACCCTCCCCGAGTCTTCCTTTCTCCTGGCTGAACAATCCCAGCTCTCTGAGTTTCTCCCATATGGAGAAGTCTCTAATGCTTTACTCATCTTTGTGCCCTTCACTGGCCTCTCTCTAGCATGTCCACAAGTCTTGCACTGGAGTGCAGCTCTCCCGCCGTGGCCTCRTGAGGGTTGAGAGGACAGATCACCTCTCTTGACCTGCCAGCCATACTCTGCTTCATGCAGCCCGTGATGTTGCTGGCCTTCTTCAGCACAAGGGCACATTGCTCTTCATGTGCAACTTGTTGTCCACCAGGACCTCCTGGTCCTTCACTGCTTTCCAGCAGGTCAGTCCCTAGTCTGTACTGGTGCACAAGGTTCTTCTTCCCCAGGCGGAGGACTTTGCATTTTCCTTTTGCTGAACTATATGCTGCATTTATTGGCCCATTTTGAAATTAAKTGATCCTGGGGGAACCTGTTCATCAAATCCTCCCCCAGAGTGTTGGAAAAGACATACAAAGCGAACGATCTTCCCCCGCAACTTTCCAGAGGCTGCTCTTACTATTGCCCTCTGGTGTTCACTCATTGCAGCCAAAATGAAAGGCACAGTGTCATGGGAACAGTCCTCCAATAATCCTGGCCAGAATTTCAAGGCAATCTCAGAGGCACTGCCCCATCCCAAGCACCACATCCCTGGCTTCACATGACACATGCGAGCACAGGACTTTGTGATCTTCATGACAGAAGCAGGAGTTCAAAGAGGTGGCTAAAGCGTGACAACTGGCAGCAGGTCACACCAGCAGGTCACACCAGCCGTCACACCACACCAAACCGGCCCAGACTGTGAGCTCCACATCTTCTGGCTTTGTTTCTCACATCCAGCGTGTTGCAGGGCAGTAGAGGTATCTGTCCCGACGGGTGGGATGGTTGGGTTGCCCTACTATGCAGCTGCCGGAGGGAGCCGAGCTCTCTGCTTGGAGGTTTGGGGCACCTATCTCTGAGGGAGAAGAAGAAAGGCCAGGGTGGGCAGAAGAAGGGCACAAGATGTGTGCTAAGCGATGAGCTTCTCAGATGTGGCTTCTCAGAAGAGGTGAGTTCAGACTAGGATGCGGATGCACCTCAGACTTTTTTTCCACTTGGCTCTGCAGAAAGCACTTTGATTCCTTATTGTTTTACTGGGTGAAAATCATGGTGGAATGAGGGGTCTTGCTACCTTAGTCCAGACTGTGACAGACATCCCCCCGCTGCAGAAAAAGATGCTAAACCTGGTCTAAGAGTCACCCCATGTCCCTGAGACAAGCGTTTGTGGAGAACAGGCAACAGCAGCATGCAAGGGCATTGCAAGGTCGGTGTGTTCAACTCGTGTCATCTTGGACTAATTAGAAAAACCGATCCACCTACCAGCTGATGGCACCTCCACACTTCTGCACATAGGAAGGAAAAAATACTGTAGAGAGGCAGAGCCTGAGTTMTTTGTACCGGGGATCCAACAGAAGCACAGCAGTCAAGGCTTTCTCCTGATAGCCCAGGGCAGGTCTTACAGGCTAACGCCATGTCCTCCTTCCCTCAGCCTTTGCACCTTGAGGGTGGGATCACTGRTTCAATCCTCACTCAGAGCGGGGCTCACTTCAAAGTTAGATGAGGTTGCTCAGGGTCTTGGCTGGGTGTGTTTTGACTATCTCCAAGGATGCAGCTCCCCCAGATGCTCTGGGCCCTTCTGCTGTGCCTGACCACCCTGATAGGGAACAATTCTCCTTATTTTTAGCCTGAATTAGTCCAGCTTGCATCTGGCAACCCTTKCTCTGTCATATGCCTGGCAACACTCACTCTGTCCCGGTGCACCTCTGAGAAGAGCCTGGCTCCATCTCCTCTATAGCCCCCATTACTGCAGCTGAGAGCAGCAATCACCCGCCTCGGTCTCCTTGTCTCCAGCCCAGCTCACTCAGCCTCCCCTCGAGCGCTGTGTCCTCTGGCCCCCGACCATCTTGGTGGGCCTCCATGGGATTTGGCAACATCTCTCTCGCCCTCGGAGAGCCAAAGCCAGGCACTGTTCCAGATGCAGTTTTCGACTGCTCCAGAGCAAGRAGCTGACATATATAACAAGTCAGGATTATTCACCCTTCCTCCCCAGTATGCATCAATTTACATTTATCCACATTGAGTTTAATCTGCTGTTTTATCGTCCACTCACTTGCTATCGCGAAGCTCCTCCTGCAGCTCTTTTAGCTTGCCCATATGAGCTAGCCAGCGCGTTTGACATGAAAGGCACGCTGACAGGGATCCTGGGGATTAGAGAGACAGCGAAAGCCCTAACTGGACTCTCTCTGCTTTCCTAAGCATCCTTGATAGCRCAAGACTGGTCTTTATGGCAGAAATTATGGGTTGCTTTCATGCTAATGCCAATGCAAATAGAAGCTTTGTTTCCTACCCTGGGACTGGCTGTCAAGGGCCACAACAAGGAGCGCGCGCGCCTTGCGCTGGGACCGCCTGCGCACCACGGCACTGCTGCAGTGTCTCCAGCCATGAATGTTAAACGAAACCGCGCTTTATCTTATGTAATGGTGTTTAATGTTTAATGCTATTACTTATAAAGAGGGCATTACGAATGGACAGCGCATGCGYGAGAGGCCACCGCTAGTTCATTCTCCCTGAAGAGGCACAAGCTGTGGCTCTAATCTGTTCCCCGGGGTTTTCTCCACTTTGAAATAACTCAAGCGAAGGTGTAGCCACCTCTCCCCTCGTTCCACCAGGCTCACGCTCTGGGGAAATGTCCCCGAGGTGTAGCTGCAGTTGACGTCAGTTCATTTTTTCTCCGGCTCACTGTGTTTTACCCCTTGTAGCCCACTCCGAGCAATGCGTCTCCCTCAGTGGCTTTTCACTGTGAAGCTCCCGAGCCCAGGAGGGCTCAGCCTGAGCTGAACCTTAATTTGCAGAATAGGGGAGTGCTCTCTAGCCCTGTTGCAAAAGCTGGGCTGGGTGAGCATGTTGTTGATCGCCATTGGCARTGATTTTCTAACCCTAAGCTAGGAAGCTCTCCCAGCACAACCTAAAGAAGCCCTTCCCAGGTGAACCAGAGCTGGGAGAAAAAGGATGGGTGAAGGCAGGCTGGATGCATTTGGATCCTGGCAAGAAAGAAGGTGGTGGTTTCTTTGGCCCTTACTGCTCCCTTCAGTTTAGGAGCAGGGCTATGGTGAGACCTGGGGCAGCAGGAGACACGAGGGGCCAGGGGAGGTGCATGGGGTGGCTTGCCGGGGRGTGAGCACCGGGGCTGCGCGGCACCCATGGGCCGTGCGGCACMGTGACCGCCCCTCACGCCTCCCCAGGACGCTGACGGACCTGCTGAAGCAGCCGGGCCTCGGCCCCTCGGAGCAGCTCGACGGCCACGTGGGCAGCCTCCAAGTGCAGGTGGGCGAGGGGCTCGGCCGCCYGCCCCCCAGGAACGGCACAGGTAAGGGGCGCCTCTCCATCCCGTGAGCGCAGGGGACCCGCCGATGGGGCCCCCTGCCCAGCTGCCCTTCTCTCCCCAGACAAGCTGCACCTGAACAACGCCATGGTCACCAACCCCATCGGGGGGCCGCCCCTGGCGCTGCCGCTGGCCCACGGCAGCCGCCTGCCGCTGGTGAGCAGCGGGCCCCTGCAGGCGCCCGACTACGCCAAGTACGCCACGCTCAAGGCTGTGGGTAAGTGCCACCGCCGCCACCACGGCCACCGCCATGGCCACCGCCATGGCCACCACCGCCGTGCGGGACCAGCCACACAGGCTGCCCCGGGAAGGGCTGCAGAGGGGAGGGCCCCAGCAAGGGCGCGGGCAGCACGCGCTCCCATGGGGACTGCAGAGCCCCACCAGCACCACCTGGCCAATGAGAGGCCAGGATCCCTGAGTGCCCACAGAATCCCCGGCCAATCAGGGCTTGGGATTCCCCCACCACCGCATACCTCCTGCACTCACCCAGCCAATCAGGCACCAGGATCCCAGCCAATTAGCAGTGAGGATTCTTCCAGGGACCCACGGCACTCTGGCCAATCAGGACCCTGGATTCCTCCTCCCTGCCCCAGCCCCCCAGCATTTCCCCAGCCAATAAGAGGCCAAGATCCCTCACCCCAGCCCCACCCCTGCAGCCAATCAGGGACCACAGACCAATTCCTCCACAGACCCACAGCATTTCCCCAGCCAATCACAGCCCCATTTCCCCTAGCACCACTCCCCCAGCCAATCAGGGGCCAAGATTTCCCAGCTCCCAGAACATGCTCCCAACAAATCAGGGCCCAGGATCCCCCAGCACCTTCTCCCACCCATCCTGCCCTCCCGTTCAGCCCTATGGGGCCCTGCTCATGCCCTAGACAGAGTCCCCCACCCTGGTGCCCACAGCAGGGGGGTGGCAGCAGYGCCCCTCCAAGGTGTCAGTCCTCCCACCCCAGGGACTGCAGCCCTACCAGGGTGGCCACCCCCCCTCCCATGGGGTGACACCCTGTGCCACCGTYGCCCTCCGTGTGTCCCCGCAGAGAGCGCGCCGGAGGATTTCTACAAGCGCTTCGCCGGGGCGGACCTGCCCRCCAGCAGCACCCTGCCCTTCCCGGCCGAGGCGCCGGCCCTGCCCGAGGGCTTCCCCCTGGGCCCCAAGGCCAAGGGCACCAAAGGGGGCCCCGCGCCGCCGCTGGCCAGCCCAGCCTTCAAAGGGGGCTGGGAGGGCGGCCGCCGGCAGGGCTACGCCGCCGGACGCCCCTTCAGCGCCGAGAAGCCGCCCGAGGCGTTCGGCGCCGCGCCGCCCCACTACGCGCAGCCCCAGCGGCACCTCTCCACCAACAGCAAGACCGAGGTCACCGTCTAAGYGGAGGGGAAGGTGATGCCGACCCTCTTGCTCGGGCTCCGGTCGCAGCGCTGGTGGYGCCCGACAGGAGGGCCCAGCAGGGCAGGCTCCGGGGAGCTGCGCCATGGGAGCACCATCCCCAGCCTGTGCAAACCAGCCATGGGCACTGGCGCCATCCCCAGCCCGTGCACCCCGGCCATGGGCACTGGCGCCGTCCCCAGCCCGCGTGCACCAGCCATGGGTGCTGCGGGCGCCCGGGAACCCCCCATGGCACGGCCAGGGACGCAGCCCCACTCACACCCAGCAAGGCCGCCCAGCACCACGAGAAACCCACGGGCGACCGGCCTGGCCCCTTCCCACTTTCTCTCCAGGCGGTTCTTCRGCAAGGACACACCACGGGAATGAAGGGGAGTATAAATACGCCCAGCGTGGGCCAGCTGTCAAGGGCTCGAGACGCGGTTTACATGTCTCCCTCCATTCTTGCTCGGCTCCTTCCCCTYGTTTCTTGGACTAAGGCCGCTCGCCCAGCTCGGGGCGGGACCACGACTTTTTTGTCTTTCCCTTATATGAATGTTTCAAAGAACAGTCTTAAACCTGTATTTGTCATTGTGTTTACAGAGGGTTACGGCGGGGGCTGCCCTTCGAGGCTGGGGAGCAGCGAGGTGATGTAGGTCCTGCATAAACTGTGACTGCTGGCAAAGGCATGGCCCTGGCAAATGCATTCTTTTCCCTTGCTCTTAGACAGGGGGCAGGCAGGTCAGCTGTCCAAGGCTGCTCCTGCTCGGGGCCTTGTCCACTGCCACCAAAGAGGGGCTGCAGAGCGGCTTCATCCCCGCACGCAGCCTCTCACCCAGCCTGTGAGTTTTGCCTGTTCTCGATCTCCCACAAGCCAAGCCCATGGCACAGTCCTGGAGAGGAGACCACAGAGGACAGGCTGTCGCTGTGGGGGAYGTCCCACCAGGGATGGCACTGTGCTCTGTGCCCCCTCAGTCTTCCTGGGGCAGCCACAGGGGCCTGCAGGGCTACAGAGCRGGAATGGGGGGAGCCTGGCCCTGCACACGGCCGTGGCGGGTGACACTGCTGCCACATCACGAGGTGCTGCAGCCTGTGACACCCTCCTGCCTGTGGGGTGGGTGAAGGGGGCACCGGGGCTCCCCAGCCTCCGTGCGAGGCTGCGATGGGCTGAGCGTGCCCGGGGGAAGCGGGCTTGAGCTGCCCCCACACAGGGGAGGCAGCAGAGCCTGTGCTGGCGGGGCAGGCCTGGGGGGCTGGCGCTGCTCCCCGGGGAGCCCTCGGCCCCGCTTCCCTGCGAGGGAAGGTGCAGAGTCGCCTGCCTGTCCCCGGGCAGGCGGTGCCGCCCCGCGGCCGCTGCGTGGCAGGCACGGGGAGAGGCGCTCGAGCCGCGCTGCCCGCCGCCGCACAGGGAAGGGCTCCGAGACACRGGAGGTTGTGAGGGTGGGGAGCCCATGGATTTTCTAAGGGGCCCCTGACTCCCTGCTTAAAAACTTCTGCACAAAATGTTTTTCCTGTGCGCCTCCTAAACCAGGTTTCTCATCTCCTCCTGGGATGCTGCTTTCATTCCTCTCCCATGCCCCTCGGAGCAGGGCACGGCTCCATCTCTACCTTCAGGTAGGTGCAGGCAGCAGCAAGATCTCCCCTCRCCTTTCTCCTTGCAGGCTGAACAAGCCCAGGTAGGTTCAGCTTTCCTCACACCTGCCCTGCCTGCCCTCGTCTCTGCAGCCCTCCCTTGGCCTTCATAGAGCTTATCCCCATCTTCCCAGGAGCAGGGGCTACATCTCGTGCCAGTGTCCTCTCACCAGGGCCAGCTGTAGAAGGACAAGCCACGTGTGTACAGGAACTGGCAGCATTCCTGCTGGGGTGCCCTTCCTTACCCCAGGAGCATGGAGCTGGCTCATCTCAGCTTCTAGTCCACATCGAGGGCCTGTTCCACAAAGCTGCTCTCCACCTCATCAACCCCAGCCTTGCCTGGTGCAGGGGRTTGTGTCCTTCCAGCTACAGAGCTGTTTTGAGCTTCATGAGGCTCCTTTAACCAGTTTCTCCAGCTTTTCGAGGTCCCTCACAGCGCAGGCAGAGCTGCTGTTCTGTTGACCCTCCCTCAGTTCAGTTTCCCTCAGTTTAGTGGGAGGATTCTATCCCATTACACAGGTAATAAATATAGCATTAACTCCAGTTTGGAGTGCTGAGGGATAGCAGGCCACCAGCTGGACTCTGCTGCTGACTCCAACTCCAAGGCCAACAGTCCAACTATCCACCTCTCCAGTCCATCCCTCAGGGATCTGGCTACCAGGCTGCTGTGAATGACATCTACCACTCTCCCCTTGCCAGTCAGCATCACCAGAAGCTCCCAAGCTGATCAGGCAGACTTTGCTCCTGATAAACTCAAGCTGGCTGTGCCCAGTCACCTTCCTCCCCTTCACACACGTTTAGGAAGAGTTTGTCCCTAACTTCCCTCAGCTAGGGGCAACCAGCCCGCACTGGGCCCTGGCTGTCTTCAGTGAAGGGAGCAGAGATTCTTCCAGATCTCCTGCTCACAAGGCAGCTGTGACCTCCCAAAGAGGGCAGTGGGTGCCACCACACCATGTGCTCAGCACCTTTGGGTGCTTCCCATCTGTCCCCCAGACTTCTGGCTGTCCAGCCAGTCCAGCATCTCTGGCTTCTTGCCTCCAGGTAATACTCCATTCCCATACACTCTATTAAGWCCCCATATGGTGAAGGGCACTTTTTACTGTGCTGATTTACTTACCCTTCAGCAGAAACTGGCTGCTCAGGTGAGTAGCCAGACAAGGTGCTGCGTGGTACCAAACTGGCCCTGGGCAARTTGTCAACACCCTCCAGAGCCCCAAAGCAGCTGGTGCAGCACACACCAACTTGCTCCATGGCAGAGACCTACCCCCAATGCAGYGCAGCACCTCGTGTTCAGGGAAAGGCTGTAGAACACAGCACAGAAAGGAGAAACAAGGATCTAACMACCTGACTCCAGGGGTGGAAGGGAACCAGCAGCATGTTCCAGTGTCGCAACTGGTCCAATGCAGTGAAGGCTCCTGGACACTAAATGGGAAGATGCACACTGCAACTGCAAACCAACATTCAGGGGCCTGAATAAAAAATGAAAGTCCATGAAAAATCAGCATCCGGTCCTCAGTACCACTAGCACYAGCTTGTTTTGTCTCGTGTGCACGYGAGAGCTGTTGAACACTTGGAAAAGAAAGAGAGAACACAATGGTAAGTTCTGGAACTTGAAGGGCTCTTGTGTTGGGAGGCCTGTTTGGACGACTCGAGGGTTGTCTCCTTGCAAAGCCCCTGCTGAGGGAGAAGGCCAAGAGACACGACACAGTGGTAACAGTCACCTTTATTAGGTAACACATGCTCACGAGCCCTGGAACAGGGTTTTCAGATGGCAGATATGTTCCCCTGGGAACTCTCCCACCACCWGTTGCACCTTTTATCACAAAGCGTTCCTACCTTTCATTCCATTTGGATAAATAGACTTTCTTCACATAATCCATAAAACAATTTCCTCCCACCCTCAAACAAAAAAAGTTACAGTATATACACGTATATAAAAAACTGTAGGGACAGATGGACAGCAAATTTATGAACAGTGTAGAAGAACAGGACAAAGACCCCTTGCCCTGGAGAGGAGAGAAATGCCAGCAGTGCCAAGACCCTCAGTGGATCCTGCCATTAGCTCCCGGTGTTGCAGCCCAACAGCCTCCCAAGCCCTTTTCCAGCCGGTACTCCCTACAGCCCAGCTCCCAGGGCCCTGTTCACCTTTAAAGGCCAAGCAGCAAAAAGGTAGTATTTGAGTCACCCCACAAAGAGGATCACTGATAGCCAAGAAGCTCAGTAGCGGACAATTAAAGCTCTCCTTAAAAACATGAGCTGTTCTTATGCCAATCAGCACTTCATGTGCTTGGAACATGCCCTCAAAGCAGAAGTAGCTGCTGTCACCTGAACCGGATCATCCCATACACTGATTTAAGTTACATAAGATCACAATCCTCCCTCAAATCTTTCCTTGGACTTCTGGCACTGGGAAGCAGGCAATTCCTACCCCCACGCCTGCCAGAGAAGCCCAGGCCACCGGTGATCATTGGCTGGGAATCCACCAGCGAGTCCCCAAGTAACAGTGAGAAGAAGCACTCTGGTCCTCATGATTTGTTCCTAGCTATAGCACAGGTTCGCTGCAAACAGGCTTTGCTGGGAGTCACATTTCTCCTGGCCATTTCATCTCRTTGAACTGAGGCAACTCTATGCCCAGTACTACATGTGCTCAACTACTGCAGCACATGCAATCACTCTCCCAAGACATCAAAAGGGAGACCCAAGCCCATCTTCTTCCCCCTCTGCTTTTTTAAAGCAGCTCAAGCTCTCATAACCCTCTGTAAAAACTGGATAAATACAGAAGTATCTTGCAAAAATAGCCAGAGTTCTCATTTGCAGGGAGGCATCACACTGCATTTGCCTGCTCAGGACAGGGAAGGAGCAGGCTGCTGCCAGCACCTGTGGGCTTCTAGTTACCCACGTGGAGCACAGGCAGGTTATGCATGGGGAGAAGAGGCAACGTGCACCCACCAAAGGCTGGTTTCCCTACTCACATGTCTGAGAGTACAACTGCTTTGCACATCTTTGGCCAAGTACAACTGGAAAGGCAAGAGCATTCCCTCCCTGGCTCCAATCCTCCCTCCCTTTCAAAGTTCCATGATTCAACCCTGGGATCCAGGCTGTTCTCCAGGGAGCAGCCTGGTCACGGAGCGGGGAGATCTGTGCCCTGAGTCAGTGCCTGCCAGGCCCTGCAGGTAGTCAGCCTGCTGTATGTGTGTGTGAGAGAGAGCTGTCAAGCACTTGGGAAAGACAGGCAAAAGGACATGATGGTAAGTTCTGGGGCTCAGAATATAAGGGAAAAAAAAAAAAAAAGAAGTTTCTAAAAAGAAGTTTCAATCTGCACCAACAGAAAGGCACCACAAAGTCTTCCCCCTTCATACAAGTGCAGGCTCTGCACGTCCACCTCTGCCACCATCCAGCACCAAACGACCAGAGCCTGACAGGCTTTTTAAGACCAACAGCCCCGTACTTGCACCCTGCCTGTAGACTGCTCCWAACTTGGCCCCCATCCGAAATGACAGGAGGCAGCTCTGGTCACACAAAGGAGATGCATGAAGTGGAGAGGAAGAGGAATCTGCTGCACTGCTCCCTACCTTGTGTAAAGCCACAAACATTCCTATAAAAAAAACTGTATAAAAACCGTAGAGAAATCTGCCAGGCAGGACTGGCCCCCAAGTGATACCCCCAGAGCACCTCTGTAGAAGCAGGATCTAGAGGGCTTCGGTGAAGCCTCCTGCTGCACACAGCACCGGTGCCTTCCCTCTCTGGGGGCAGCCTGCAGGCTGAGAAGGGCCTCGGACCCCAGGAATGCTTCAGGACAAGGCCTGAGCACATCCTCTGCCCTCCYGGGAGGTTCCTATCTGCAGGGGCACTGGGAAGGGAAGGTGATGCCCCTGAGGACACACTAGGGTGTGCCACCTTCCTGTCCCCTAGCTTTGTAGGTGCTCATCCCAGCAGGGCCCCATGGAGCGGGGCTTTCTCCCAGCCCCACAGAGCCACAGGATGACGGCCAGGCCGACTCCTGTTGCGGTGCCTGAGAGCAAGCCAGCGGGCTGATAAAGCTAAACCTGGGACAAGTTAAAAYCCCCTCCCTCCCTCTCCCACCCCACAGCGATCCCAGTGGCACCGACCTAGCTACCGCTTTTTTTTTCTTCTTTTCTCTCCTTTTTTTTTTTGGATTTTCTCTTTTTCTGTCGTCGTTTTAACCTCAAGAGGGCAAGTCCAGGCCGCCGCTTCACGGGGCCGCCTCCGCGCAGCAGGGCCCGGCCCGGGGCGTTAGGAGGCCGCGAGGGCCGTGCCGCCGCTCAGCTTGACGATGAGCTGCTGGCAGTCGTTGCACGAGCGCTTGTCCCCGACCTTCTCGAGCGTGCGCGCGGCCTCCGCCAGCAGCACGGCCTGCTGGCCGGGCGAGGACAGGAAYGAGAGGGGCAGGTGGCGGCAGGCCAGCAGGATGGCTGTGGCTCGCTCCCTCTGGCCTGGCAGCGTGTCCACTTCACCTGGGCACGAAAAGGAGAGGGAAACACGCGCTGAGGCTACAAAACATCTTAGCATTATGCAAGACCTCAGTGTGGCTCCTAACAGAGCCTCGGGTGGCAGCTGAGGGACATCTCAGGGCTGGCAAAGCAGAGGCAGGCTCCACTATCTCCCAGCTGAGCAGCGAATCTCCAAGCAATTAATTAAGCCTAAGGTGCAGGTTTGAGCTGGAGTCAGGCTGGACTCCAGTGCTGCTCTGGGTGGCCACTGCTTCTGCACCAACAGCCCTTTCATTTTACTGTCTTCGGGTGCTTTATGGGGCTTGTGCCAGCGCGGGGCCCACCTTGCTTGCTGCTCTGCGCCGTGCGCCGCCTCAGGCTGTGCTCCAGCAGCTGGTGGGTGCGTGTAGGGCTGGCACCCGCCATCAGGCGCACGGTGGCCTCGTGGAGGAAAACCTAGGAGGGAAGATAGGAGGTTAGGACCAACGCGCACAGGCCATTCCTCCGCAACAGCTCCTAAACTCAGCCATCCCTCTGCAACAGCATTTTAAGAGCACACTGCTTGCATATTCATAACACCACCACACTTCTCTACTCATTGTTTTTCCCACCTGTCTCTAGAAATTTTGCAAGTTTTCCAATTGTCAAGAGGATAAAAGCTTTTACCATATAACCCTTTCCTAGGCTAGAAGMCTGGGAAAGGAGAGGAAAAGCAACAATGTGCCGAAAATGGAAGACCGAATTCCAAACTCTGCCCTGGGCAAATGACTTATTCACAATTCTGGGCCAGCAGCTCCCCTGTCAGGGCCCCAGGAACACCACCAAGGGCTGRCTAAAACTTCTGCTTCTTCCGAGGGACCGAGAGGCAGGTGAGGAGGGCAGCGGGGGGGTTACCTTGCGGTAGGCCGGCCGGAAGCCGTGCGCCAGCTTGCGCAAGCTGCCCAGGTCCCGCTGGAAGCCCGTGAGCTCCGAGGCCGACGCGTGGTAGGTCTCGCCCAAGGCCTGGCTGCTGCTCGCCTGCTTCTGCCACAGGCTGGTGCGGAGGGAGAGCAGCAAGTCGCAGGCCAGCAGCTGCATCATCTGTAAGGAGCGAGAGCCCAGTGATACCAAACAGAAACAGTAGTTAAAAGGTAAAGAGATCCTCGCTATCTGCAGAGGAGAGGGAGAGAGGAGAAAAGAAAAAAAAAAAAAAAAAAAAAAAGAAGTCTTGACACAACCCAATCCACATTTTCACATTTTCTACCTAAATCCCTTTTCCCTGTCTGCTGCTGCCACCCAGCAGTTTGCTACCCTAACTGCTCTTTAAGAGATTCCTCCTGCACTGTAGGAATGGGGAGTGCCTCCGTACTGCACTGCAGAAACATTGCACAGTTAGTGCCAGACATGCAATGCAACTACAATGCACCACAGCTGCCACCCAGGAGCAGCAGAGGGGACCACAACTGTGTCCCATGCGCCACGCAGGGGAGCTCCAGCTTTAAGTAATCCTGGAAAGAGAAGACACAAGCAATGCACAAGCTCAGGAACAGCACAGCAGAGACCCGCTCCTGCAGCAGAGGATTCAAATGCCCAAGTGCTGCCTGAAACACAGTGGGCTTGGCTTAACTAGGCCCATGTTTTACACGTGTCAACACTTTCACTGACAAGGCTGAGATGGAAGTTTGCTGTGGGCCAAATCAGAAGTGGTCCAAGAAACAGAGAAGAGATGACAGGTGGTGGCAGGACCAGGGCAGTGGCTCAGCCAGTTAAGATCATGTTTAAGAAGGCAGAGAGTAGCTGTTGGACTGCCCCTCCATAGAGCAGAGACAGCAAAGTGTCAGTGTCCTTTGAAAGCGAGGAGTATTCTTCCCTACTGTCATCAGCCTCAGGATGAATGGAGAATGAAGGAAGAAACAACACAGGGGAGCACTTGTAGCAAAACCAACTTCAGGCCCAACACCTCCACCGCGTATCACCCCACGGGTTATGCCTTACGCTGCTGAGGACGGCGCTGGAGACCCCGCTGCTCATGTTAAGGCTGTTCCAGAGGTGGCTGCTGGCCCTCTCGCAGTGCCCCAGGGCGCTCTGCTGCCCGTCCGCCTTGCCGGGCAGCGAGGCCTGCATGGCTTTGCACACGTAGAAGGTGGCTCTCACAAGGGCGTTCCTGCAAGAGAAAGGGGTCCCACTTCTGAGCGACACTAGCCACGCTGCCACGGGGCAGCCCCAGCAGCTGAGCTCAAGTGAGGATTAGCATCCCCCTTCACCTCTCAGCTTTAAGAGCAGGGAGATCGTATCTTCTCAAGCACAGCAAGAGGATGAAATTCCTCCTCCATCTACACAAACTATGTAGAAATGGAAGCAAATTGGCTAGAAAACTTCAATGGGAAAGAATAAGGCTAGTAACACCAGCCTTTTCATCAGGGTATGTGCACAAGTTGTGTCATTTCATTGAGAGGGGTAGGATTAGAACGGAAACAAGAAAACATCCATAAAGAAGCAATGCCATTCCCTCCAGACTCTGCCAACTCACAGCTCTAGCATCAGCCTACAAGCCCTGACCTACACATCTGTTGTTTGGCACATTTGCACCTCGTGCTCCAACATTTGCACCAAACAGCAGCGATATGATCGACTCATATACGCACTCGGACATCTCCAGGGCCTTCGGCATGCGCTCCACTTCGGCGAAATGCAACCTCGCAGCCGCGTCGTCCCCTCTGAGCCAAGCGATGGCCATGGCCACKGCTGCCGACCACCATCTGCACACCACGTCCGGGCCTAGGAAAACAGAACCACAAGTTGCAACCAAGGAGAGAAGACCAAGTTCGGCCCTGCTCGGTGGAAACGGTGGGTGTTTTACGCCTCAGCCTTAGACCAAGATCACACCGGTGAGCCCAAGAAAGCACGTAAACCCAGCGGGGCTCTCAGGAACGCAGCTGGCGGGGGGAACGACGGAACATGCTGAGGGAACAGCTGAATAACCTGGCAGCAAGGAAGCACTTGACCCCTGGCAGCAAGTGGGGTGTCAGATACTGAGTCTGAGGCTTGCCAACAAGATCCCCACCTACTCCTCTAGAAAGTCCTCGCCTCTCCTCCCAGCACAGACCTTCACTCCCCGTCCTGCAGCCACAATTCTGGCACCATGTCTCAGCACTGACTGTCATCAAGCTAGTATAGTACTCATCAGGTCTCTGCTACCATTTTCTTCATTATTTCACTTTCCCTCAAGAGCCTCCTGGAGTATACACTGGGCCAAAGGACATGGGTTCTATGACTCTGACCCGCTTTTAAATTTCATGCCGATTTTGCTATGCTGACCTGCTTTTAAATTTCAAGGCAATATTGACCCAAATATAGATTTCCCTTTACCCCAAAATGTAAGCCTTGGAGAGAAGATATCTAGCTTCCCTCCTGTGTCGGCTCTATACACTTTAGGTGCAAACTAATTGTCCTAGGAGCTCCAGCAGCATCCCAGGGAATTGTGAGGTGCTGGTTGTACCAATACCAAGCAAGACAAGTATTCCAAGAACCGGCTGACAGGCCCAACTGAGCACAGAGCCCAGGGGGAGGCTACAGCTCTAGCTCTCCCACTAGATAGTCTCCAAGGGGCCATGGCAAGTGTCTCTTGTATGTCCAGAGCTAGGCCAGAGCAGGAGCAGCAGAGCTGGAGGTTCCAAAGACTGAAAAATGAATGCAACAGATGCTATAAAAGCAAGGTCAATTTATACTTGGGCCAACAGGTCATTATCAAGCATCCTTACAGAGCAAACAGGACTTCTTGTGCTCAGCCACACTGCTACTATGACTGTTATATGCTACAACCTTTCACTCATTTCGCATTGTCAGATCCAAGCTCTCAGGCATGGTGCACTGCTTGGAACATGCCCAAAGTGCCCATCTTCACTASTTATAAAAATAACTGCAACTCCACTGCATTATCAGTCACAGCTTTAAGAGCCTTCTTAACCACCCCCTTATTGCCAAGCTGCTCTATCAATCACCTCTGTGAGCAGTGGGGTGCTGCTCCATACCTGCATCTCACCCCAGSAAGGGCTGTGTCCGCCACGCCTGGAGGGTGAAAGTTGAAAGGCAGAAAGGGAACATCTCTGCAATATTCCCTACAGCTGGGAGACCTTCTGCTCTGCCATACTTACCCAGTGCTGACTTGAGTACAGAATTGCTGGCAAAGGGTGGAGCCCCACTTCCCATTGAGTCCAAGAAAGAGTTGAGCAACTTCAGATATTCCATTGCCCCGGAGAATTCGCTGAAACAAGAAACAGGGCAGACCTTCACTACGCTGTCAAACATGAGAGAGCAAAGCCTGAAAGTATTTCTAATCAGTTACGATGCATTTTTAAACAACGTTGACCTCTTAAGCCAGCAGGTGGAAACAGAAAGTTCAAATTCTGTAGGCCATTAGTGTTGTGATATTTAAAGATTTCTGCTGGAGAATTATCAAATCTCCCTCTATGGCAAAGTAAACAGCTCAGATTAGAGTCAACCCTGTGACTCTCACCTCAAGTACACAAATGCTGGAACTCACTGGGAGCTTTTCCTTACAGACATTTGCCTTGCAGCTAAGGAGCAGGCAAGCAGGCTGTACTCAAGTCCTTAAAAACACGAGGTGGTGCCACTGGCACGGGAGGGACTGGACGGGCCACACAGACGCAGACTAAAGCACGTTACACATTCAGAGGGGAAGCATCTACACTGCTACTTAGTCAGCACTGCACATTTTACAAACACTAAATAGAAGCTGCCAGCACCCCCTCTAGCGTCTCGAGTCTGCTGACAGATAAGATGTYTAACAAGTTGATTACAGGCTTCCTTTCAATCACTGCCTCCAGAGGAGGCTCAACTACATTCTTCCAAGTGGCTACTAAACAGTGTTAATCAGCAAAAGCAGCATATGTGGTAATSATCTTATTTCCTTGGGTAGGCGACAGAGAACAACCTCGAGTTCCTACCTTTGGGGCTGGGCRAAAGCCTTCTGCATTAGCAGAGCTACTCCTGCCAACAACGAAACAGAACTTCCACAARCATCCTGATAATCCGCTTCACTTACACCCTGCTCCTTCCCTATCAACAGCTGATCAGCTGTATCTATACTGGTTAAGCAACCAGACTGAACTGCTGCTCAATCTTTGCAACTATGACAGAAAGCAGATGCAAGATTGAAATTAAATACATACTACTCCTATACCAGTAGGAAAGCTAAGCCTTTCTTATCATCCCCATTTGAGACTTCTGCCCATACTTTTGAGGGGATACAATCATTACAGAACTCTCCATTTATCTGCCTAGCACTTGTTGGGYACCGACATATCTGGAGATCAGTTAGAAACAAAATGTAGTTTGGTAAATAAATAAATGAAGGCTCTTCCCATTCCTCCATACCAACTCCTTTCCCTTGCTCACAGTGCTGACAAAGACCAATGACAATTTGAGCCAGCATCTGCTCTCCCACTCTTGCACACACCAAYTGGATTTTTCACTGCTGGTAAATGCAGCACTTTGTTTCATTACAGGAATATTCTCATGCATTAATGTAGGGAGTCAGCTGGGTCCTGTTTTCTAATAAGCTGGATTATGGCACTCTCAGAGACTTGGGTATATKTTATGGTCAATTAAGACAGTAGCTGTGTGTTAATTTTAGTGTTACTGAACTTTGAAMCTGTCAGGAGAGGAAGTCCCACCCATTGTAGGGATCAATCAGCAGAAATGAGAGATCTTTATCTCAAACAGTCAAAATTTCACCTTTGACTTGAGAGGTTTTAATACGARGAGGTTGAGCTCACTCTTCTAAAATGGCAGCAGTGAGATTTGTGTCAGGACTTCAAGTCATGATTAAATACTAACCACTCCGTTTGCCTCAGGGAACTCAGTGTATGATTAACAGTTTGAAACATTTCAGCCTGCAGTTACCTACAGCAGAGCCAGTCCCGGCACAGACACTTACCATGGTTCCTCCTCCTCTTGTCCAACTACTGCTTTCCCAGTCTGAGGTTTCACAAGCGAATCCACAGCTCTCTCCAGTAGGTTCTCACAAAACGCTTGATGAACCTGTGCAATGGGATCCGCTAGAGAGAAAGAACAAACCAGTTCTTACACACAGTGCTCACCACCTCCTGATACGCATAAGGGCAGCAGCAAGAGCCAAATCTTAAGGTACCAGAGGAAGAGCAGCCTAGGGAAATTCTTGAAAATTATTGCAGATTTATGAAGACTAAGCTCTTGAGCTTTTTTTTTACACCACCAGCCACCCATTATCAGCCATTTCAAGCCACAATCAATGGCCAAACATCTCTAACACTTCAGCTACTCAACAGTTTGGTGGTGACACTGTTCCAAAGACGACAAACCCTGGTCACCCCTAAGTCATCCCTTAGACATTCTGTGCTAGAACTCAGTTCTGTTCCAGCACATAAAATCACAAGTGGGATGACATGTAAACCTGTGCATTGCACAAAGGGAAGAGTAGCAGCTCCTACAGAGTCTGAGGAGACATCTCTTTCCTCCATAGTCCCTCCCACCCGCCAAGGGGAGCAGCTTCCTACAGGTGTAGACAACTGTTGTGCACAACAGAATGCTCTCAAAACCCCTCACAGATGGAGACGTTCCCAGGCCACCACTGTTAGGAGCTCAAACTTTTTAGACTCGCAGAGGATCTCACCAGGATTCCTTTGGGTGCAGTACAGACTCTCCTTTGCAGCAGATTTTACTGTCCAGCTCCGTTCCACAAAAAATTTCTGTCCCAGTGGGTGACACAGCCAACGCAAMGAGTCAGGAATGGCACTCCGCTCCGAGCTACACAGGCTTTGAGCTTGGCTTAAAAAGTAACTCTAGAGAGAAGAGAGACCAAGACTGAAAACAATCTGCCAGGAAAGAGACACAGAGCACACCAACGACAAAGCTCATTACAGCCCCTAGCACAAGGGCAGTGYCAGCAAGTGCATCGGGCTGGTGGCAGTGCCAGGCTGCAGGGCTCCCTAGGGCTGTGCYTACAGGGGTGGCAGTGGACAGGTACACAGGAGCTCACTCACCGCCAGGAAGCCCAGCTTGCCCCCACAGCGGGTTTTCAGGCCAACCGCAGCCGTCAGGTGGATTTCTGCCATCGTGCTGGGCGGGATCTTCTCCTCTGCACACTCAGCCAGGTTCACAGCACACAGGGCCATGTGCAACCCTGAGTAAGCCGAGCTGGAGGGCAGTTTGCCTACACCACAAGGGAAAAGAAGAGTTAAACTTTCAGAGTGGTACCTACTGCTAAATAAGTCATTTGCAGAGAYACTATCCTGCAACAGGCAAACGAGAACCTAGTGACATGAGAACTCTGCAATGCCACGTGTGCCTGCTTTGTATTCAGGCACCAGAACAACTCTAATTGAAACTTCTTTCCACTGATACCAAGGCTGGCATTCACAGCTTTGCTCCTGCAAGACAGACCTGCATAGCTAACAAATGTAACATCTGCAAACCTTGGCTCGCTACATTCATCTCATAATTGAACCCCTTTGCAATCTATGCAAATAACATTACAAACAGGGACGTTTTCTCTTTATTCATGGTGGCACAACTATAATTAAGGCAAGAAGATTAGGCAGAAGGACATTTAGTTTGGATTCCAAATATATTTGTGTCCTATTACAATTGCAAATTGCTCTGTTAAGGAACCTGCAAAACTGATCATAAGGATCTTTCAAGTGCTTGTTTAATACATATGTGTATATGTGCACACTTTTGGAGCCTGTCATCACCCATTGGCAATCTGTGCTTCACACAGCTTCAGAAAATTAAAAACTCTTCCAAAATGAATGCTGCCCCCCAATTCCACWTTACACTTCTAAACGATAGGAATCAACCAAGCTTTTGAATACCATGAAGAAGCGACAGATTCAATCAACTGTCGCTTGGAAAGGACTCCAAGCCACCTCTACTCACTCAACAACATGCAACCCAAGACACTGCTTTTTCTCAGGCTGCTCTTAGAGAGCCCTTTCACCATCTAAAGCTGTTCGGTTTTAGTAACTGGCTCCTGAAATTAGTCTGCTTAGCTTGTAGCAGCAACCTCCCAAGGACAAGAGGCTGAGGGGCTCTTGCTTGATCCCCACAGGATCAGCTCTGAGCCTCCTTATTCAGGAAATGAGAAGAAAGGGGTTGGCTTTCCCATCTCTGTTGGTACCCGTTATGTGGAGCTGATGGAGTTTGTGATATGCCAGAGCTGCATCCCGAGCACTGGTCTTGGCCTCATCCTCAAAGCCTGCAGCGGCTTCTCTTGCCCGCCACTGGTGGGAAGTCCTCTTCAGCAGCCAGCGCACCAGCGCCAGCTTCTGCAGGCTRTAGCGGATCACGTTCCAGGACAGACTGCAGGCCAAGTCCAGGCGGGAAGCTGGCAGCGCCCGGCCCAGCACCGAGAGGCAAGTCTGCAGGTTTGAGGCAGCTGCAGCAAAATCCCCCTGCAAACGTGAGACACACAAAAGAAAAACGGCGAACATCAAAACGAGATTTATGCTACATTACTGACAGCCCAGAAAACTGCCTTCCTTAGTCCACAAAGGCAAGAAAGACAGGCAGAAGAAATGCAAACTATCTCAGTGTAACCCAAAGGGGCTCGCTAGTGCTGCCCATCGCCATGGCTAAGCAGTCGTGATGCTTCAGCCTCACTTCCAGCACCTTCAGCTGAGGTCGTTAGCTGAGGCAAGGCAATATGATACAAGCGAGCATGAAGCCAGTATAGACGTCCAGCAGAGACCTGCTCCTGAACATCCCAGCAGCACATCTCAGCCTACATACGGCCTGTTCCTGCAACGGCTATGACACCTGGGAGACACATAGGCACTAGATAAAACCTGATTGCTGCCTTCTCAAACAAAATGGATGTTTCAGGGTCAAAAGCCAGGTGGTGTTTCAGTCCTGGGGAAGACTTATAAGCGTCCAGAGGAGACTGCAGTGCTCCAATAAACACTTTATCACCTAGGGTGCTGTACTACCACAGGTAGCCATGTCAGTAGCTTCCACTGAGCTACAACTGGGACAAACTTACACTGAAAATGAGAGAGAGAGAGAGAGAGAGAGAGAGAGAGAGAGAGAGAGAGAGAGAGAAAAAAAAAAAAAAAGAAAAGAAAAAGAAAGCAGCACATAGGCAAGTGGATTACTGACTGCTAATAAGCACAGCATAGGCAAAATTCCAAAATCTAAGTTCAGAAACCAAAACCTTGCTTCCTTGCTTTCCAAAGACAGTCAAAAAGATGCAGCAGCAAGGCATAAGGACTTAATTATGTGTCCTTTCCAATACTACTGTCCGTGCCTCAGCAACTGGGGATGAAGCAGGCCAGTGATTTGCTGAAGACTGCAAGCATCAAATTCCCCTCTGAAATCATACACAATAATAAACTCTAGAAATACTATGCTCTTGCAAATGTCAACCCACAGTCCTTTTAGGCCACGTTTATCTGCACTCCCCTCCTATATATGATGTAGTTGATGCAAGAGAGTCAACTTTACCCGTGCCAGATCCAGGTCGGCTTGCTTGCGGTGCCTCCAGAACGTCACCGACGACCTCGAGTGCAACCGCGTCACTGGCTCTCCATGCACAAGGAGCTTTACAAACACGCTCAGGACAATCACTCCATTCACTAGCCACAGAATCAGCGTGGGCATCATCCAGCCAAACCAGCCACCTGCATCTGCAAGGGAACATCCCGAAGGACAGTTCAAGTTAACCTGGACATCGAGAACCTTGTATTTTAAGCCAGTCTGAAGACCCCACAACAACTGTTTCTGTAGTAAAATTTCCAATATTTTTCTACAGTAAATTTTCCAAGCAAGGTCACCTGCAGCAGCCCCAAGTGAAGACACTGTTTAGCAAGAGCACGCGAGCCTGCCTGCTTTCCACAGTCCAGTCCCCTCACGCTCTGGACTGCTCCAATGTGTTACCTGACTCGATGGTCAGCACGTTCCTGCCAGAGCCGTGGCGCACAAGGCTGTCGGACTCRGAGGCTCCTCGGGCGTCCAGGAGGGATGTCAGAGGATTGAAGGAGAGGCAAAGGAATGTGAGAGCACACAGAAGGATTCGAGAGCGATCTACCATACCAAGTGCCACAGGCGGAGAGTCAGGTTCATCTTTAACCTTCAAAGAATTAGGAGTGGCGATAGGAACAAGAGGAAGGAAAGAAAAAAAAAAAGAAGAAAAAACACGTTTAACAATCTGCAAGACGAAGTGCTTATGAAAAGGAATGGGGTGGTGAAGAAGGACAACAAGTTTTAAAATTTGTTTTTAAGATCAGCAAGAGCTCCAGTAAAGTTTTCCTTAGCTCAGTAAAATGAGGCTGAAGTACCACAAGTGTCCTCACCTTCCYTCTGCTCTCAGCCATTTCAGTCAACATTAATAACCTATAACCTTGTTTTCAGCCAGGATTAACTTTCACTACACTTACTCTTCCGAAAATCTCCTGTAAGACACACTACTACTGTGACACCTACAGAAGCTGTCAGCTGAAGACAGTTAACAGCTTTCTAGCTTTGTGGTTCCTTTAGGTCTCATTACCCAGAGCTGATATCATCATCCTTTTCCAGTTCTCCTGCTTTACTCACCAAACAAACATCAACTTGAAAGCCTCAGGCTTTATGGATCACAGATACGCACTATAAAGTCACCAGAATCTACTTGCAGTGAAGTCTAAGTACTGTTCCTCTAAAAGGTTATGTATAATTGACGCCTTACAGCTCAAGGAGTAGTCTTCATCCTTCAAAAAAGCCTCTTTCTTCCATGCACCTTCTTTGTCCATACAAGTCATCTCTGACCCCTACCACTCTACTTGCCAGAGGTCTACTGGCTCTGTTGTTGAAAGCCAGGAGGATTCAAATTCTGGYCCTTTTGTATCCCTGAATTAAAAGCCTTTAATCCAGCAATTTAAGTCATGGATACCTTTGCATCATCAAGCAGAGGACTTCCTGGCTCTGAATCAATGGAATAGGGAGAAAAGCCAGCCTGGGATCCCGAGTCGGAGGCTGGGGGAGACATCAGTAGAACGTTCTGGTTGAAGTCATCTATCTTCAGGTCTGCATCATTGTCAACCAGGCTGCTTAGGTCAATGCCCTTCAACAGCTCTGCAAAAAATAAAGTAGTATTTGATTTGATGTAGGAATGAGAAATATGAATCTGTTTTGCTCAGATTGGCTCTAGCACTTGCAAGAACACTTGCACCATCAATGCAACCTGCACATATCTGCCTCCTTCAAGGTAAGGAAGTGCAAGAAGCACTCATGGTGACCACCTCCCTCCTGCACGGCCCCCATAACTTACTGTTTTTCTGGTTAGCCAACTTCAGAACCATGTTCTCCTGCCTCAGTTTATGGTTGGCCTGCTGTAGGTATTTAATGTAATCAATGGCTTTTCTCAGGACTCCAGATTTGTGCATCTGCAAGGAATTAACACAGAGGAAAAACAGCTTATACAAAGAACATCACAACCCCAGTTCACGTGTCATGTAAAAGAGACAAAGAAACGGGTGTAAGGAATCACCAGCAGCAACAACCAAACTAATGGTGAGGCCACACTCTTAAGGGCAAGATATTATACCCATAAAGATGCGCAAGGACTGGACAACAGATCTGGAACCACTCTACCTGAGGTCTTTCAGCAGTGTGATAAAAACAGTACAACGCAAACAGATTAAGAACCAAATTACAAAGTTCATGTCTAGATTTCAGCTTCAAACTGTTACTTGAAAGTATCAGCTTTACATCAAAGAGTCTCTCTTTTCAGGACGGAACTAGCTGTTATCAGGCAAGTTTCACTGTTTGACTCTGAGGTAGTCACTGCCTCAGTCCCTTTTCCAGCCCCGCGAAAACATCAGCTTCCTGCAGAGGCTGCAGGTTTACGCCAACACAGACAAGGCACTGGGAAACCACTGCAAGCCACCTGCTTTTAAATCCTAAGCTTCCAATTCCCCCCCAGTGACAGGAGGCAACTTCACTGATGCACAGGCTTAGAGACATGCACACAAACACACCCCAGAGGTACAAATGTTCTGCCAAAGTGAGGTAGAGCAAGCAGCACAATTCTGAACTTGACTCACGTGTTGATAAAACGTTCCTAATATTAGAGTTAACAGGAGCTTTTACAACACAAGATCTAAAGGAATCAAACTGGAAAGYTTTGTGCAAGAAGGTATTTTCTTCTCCCCGCCAGGACAGTTGGCAATTGAAGTAAGGGATCTGCTTCCCTACTGCAGTTACCAGGAAATGGAAATTACACAAGCTCCGATTTGGCCAGAGTTATCAAAACATGCACTCCTGCCACTCTACTTTGAGGTCTAATGGATAGTTAGACTTTATACTTTTGTTCTTATTTTCAAGAAGTGCTACCAACAGTAAAAATCAATATTAAAGGTAGCACATAGTGAATGCAATTATTTCTATCTCACTGGTATTCCTCAATCATATTCCAATACACATACACATATTCCTAAGCTAACACTCTCCAAATGCTTCATTTGGTAGAGCAACAAGCACCTGAGGGCACAAATATTTATGGCACTAAACCTGCTCTTGTTACCTAAACTTACCTTGGCATCTGTCCCCATGACGAGGTCCTTCAGCTCAATGATCTTGTCATTTATAGATGACCGGTAACGCTTTTCAATGATGTTGTGCGTTGTCCTCCTCTCTCCTTCYTTAGGTGGCTCTGGTTGTTTGACACCCCCAGGAACTTGCTTGATAGGCACCTTTTCTTGTCCCATCATCACTGGCATCGTGGTCAAAATGGTCCCGTTGCTCCCAACTAGGGTCTGGAAAGACCACATGTAACCAGCAATCAGGTAGCATTCACAATTTATGATGTTAAGAACAAAAGAAGTAAACAGAGGGAGATGCAGGAAAAGCAAGTACAGCTCAAAAATTTAGGGATATGCCAACTGCCTCACGCATTCCCTGGCTGGCAGGAGCACTAATGCAGCAGCACAGGAAGAATCTGCCGTGSTACCTCCCACACCAGTCATGGTGGGCTAAGAAGATCTCCTGTTCTCATGGAGAACCTCAAGACTCCCTCACCAATGGCTAGCCACAGGAGAAAAGCAGTAAGGATCTTCTGAACTCCTGGAATCCTTCTGCCACAGGTCTCCAAATCCATCTGGCATAAAGAGTTCAGGGACTTGGTTATCTATGCCTACAAAGGACCATCTCCACCAAGGCAAAGCAAAACGTGCTCTGCAATAAAACAAGATGAATCCCACCAGAAGACCACAGAGGAGAAGCTATTCAACCTCAAAGACACTGACAAAAAATGAGACTAAACTAACTGATCAAATTTAAGAACAACTYAGATTTGTTTAAAAAAAAATCTAAGAAGTATTAGAAATATAAAGTTCCAGGTTAAAAATAAATGTAAGATTAATTTATGACCTCTATGTCTAGTTTCCACCAAATTTCAATGAGCACAAAAAAGTCATGGCTTGTGTATCTGCTAGACAACCAATCACTTAAACCTCAACTCCATGTGAAATCATCACCTTAAAAAAAAAAGTAAATAAATTGAAGATTTTGGTCTATCTGCTACCAGGTGCAAAACAATCATCAGGTCATCAAAAACAAACAAACAAACAACACGTCCACCCTAGGAAGGTTTTATTCTGAAAGGATCTCTCTGTTTAAACATGTACTGCTCAACATACCAAATTATAATAAAAACATCTCTGGAGGGAAAAAAAAATATTCTCTTTGAGGTGATAACAAGCTAAGGTCTTGATGCACAGCTGACCTCTCCAAAGCTTACAGGGAATTCTCCTGTTTTGAGGATTAGCCTCAAATAGTCAGTTAATGGCTCAATAGGTTAGTTTTTGCATTCAACATATTGCTAGTGAGCTGGAGAAAGCTCTGCACCTAATYCAGGTGGGTTAGCTTTCTGGTTCAAGTATGTTCTTGTTCAACAGARGTTAAAAATTGTTAGGCCATATTCCTCTCCTGCTAACACTAGAGGAGGAAAAAAAAGAAAAAAAAAGAAAAGAAAGGTAAACAGATTTGCCCTTGGTCTTTGCTGACTGGCCATGGGAGGCGGCCAAAAACATACAATCTGTGTGTTTAGCCTTGGCAGGAACAGGGCATTACTCACTTTGGGCATGTTTAGAGCAGCATTCAAAGCTCCTCCCATGTGTATCTCTGAGGAACACTAACCCCAAACCTCCCTTTTTTTTTTTTTTTTTTTTTTTTAATAATATTAAGAGGAAGTATCACTGGTGAAGAAGCAAAAGGAAAATTCATACCGGTACCTGGAGAGCTGTGGTCTGAATGGGAGCAGTGAGCGCTGTGAGCGCTGGGTTCTGAACAGCAGCCATAACGGGGCTACCATCCGCCTTCAGAGTCGTCAACACAAGGGAGTCTGTCTTTATGATCTGAGGCTGGACCAGAACCTRGATTGAAGACAAAAGGATTTGTAACTTTATATCTCAGTGGATGGCAAAAGGGTGAGGACAGCCATTTTCTCCTTTACCCCCTGCATTTTTTTCCTTTGGCATGCCACTTTCCAATGCAATCTCCCACAATGACAGTCTGAACGATGGATCAGAACCACAGGATCACCAATTTGGAAAAAATCGGACACCAGAAGTAAAGCAATATATAAAAATACACAATAGTTGATGGAACAGTTGAGTTTCTTTCCCCTCTCCAATTACACRGCAGAAGAGCCTATTTTGGCCACAGTACTTCTCACTGAACACCAGTGGACATTTCTTTCCTCTGGTTTAGCTGAAGGGATCAGCAGCACAAACTCCAAGCAGATGAGAACCAACAGTGGGTTATTCCAGCACAGCACAGCGTGCTGTTGTCCAACAACCTTGGTTACCCACCGAGAAYACTACAGATGGCATCACACAATTGAACCAGCACGACATTTTCATGAGTGGCCCTTAACCATAAGCATCTGAATGCTGCCCACTACTTCAAATCACATCACTGCTCACAGTAGGGASTCTCATGTCTGCCTTACACAAATAAAATGCTAAAATGCTTCTGGCCAGCACAGATTGGCTAGAAACACCCATCACCTAAGGACGTGTGTGGAAAAGCAATCCTGCAAGGAGCAGGCTGCCCTCCAACCCTCACCACCTTTCCCTTGACAAACCAGGAGACCAGACTCACAACAGCAGTTTCTTCTCCTGTTGGATCCCTCTCCTCACTCCAAAGCCCTCCCCCACCACACCTCTGTGTGCTTTGCATATCCCTTTATCCACATCACCCCACATTTTCACTTACTGGAACTTGCTGGACCTGCGGCGCAGCGACTGTCTGAACCGTGGCTGGTGCCAACGTCTGGATGGTGCCATTGGCAGCCTGCGTTAGCACTCTCTGGGCCTGCACAGTCTGCACTTGCTGCTGGATGGTGACCGGCTGAACCTGGGAGGACGTCACCAGGCTCTGAACTTGGGGCTGAAGGACTGAAAAATAAACAAGATGTGAGGAATAGTCAAAAAAACCCCTCTGTGCCCATACACCCTCCCAGCCTCGCTCTTGCTCTGCCCAGAGCTTCTCAGGAAGCAGCTTTCATCTAGCACATCCCACAAGTTGGTGAGATTCCAACTCCTTTGATGTCTCCTGCAAGGGACACTGCATCTAGAATAGCAACTTTCCAGAAGGCAGAGAGGATCAGTTAAGAGAAAAATATGATCCAAATCTTTGGATCCAAAAGCACAGGCCTCTCATTACTTCAGTACACCCCACAGCACATCTAACCAGCACTACCTACCATTCTTGGCTGACCCTAGGATCYCTTTTCCCACATGAAAACTGACTGACACCTATCCAAAGTGAATCAAGACAACTTATGTCCACAAATACAAAGGAAGATCAGTCACCCGCACGTGTCTCTGCTCACTAGCAGGGTTCACTTTGGACCTCAGCATTTGAAATATGCCTTCATTCCAGAGAGCCACATGGGACAGACTGCCACTTCTGGACTAGACTTGTCCATTACTCCAACCAAGAGAAGGACAAGGATGCTGGTAGTTACTTTTTACAGATACTTTTTTTTTTTTTAACAGATACTTTACAGTACTTTCTACAGGTACCCCAAGTCTCCAACGAGACATGGGAGAMAAGGCCTTAACAAAGGAGAGCAAGAAGAGAACTGCTACAAGCAAAGACTTGAGAATTCATTTCTGAGGGTTTTTTTTTTGTATCCCCATTGAACCTGAAAAAAAAAAACCCTCAACTGCAAAGCCATGCCTTGCAGGAGAGGGAACTCCCCCTAGACACTGCAAAGGGGGATCTTTAAGGGTATCTGCAGAATCTGAATATCTTGGCATTCCGCATCGTGCCTCAGCGGTGCCAAGCCCACCTTGGAAGCTYGTGGCCGCGTTCTGGTAGATGACGGGCTGCTGGATAATCCTGGTCTGGGGTGCCGAGCTGAAGGCGGTGGGCGCGATGACGACAGCCTGCTGCGGGAGCTGGGGCTGGGGCCGGGGCTGCAGGAGCGGCGCCGCGCGCGCCGGGGCCGTCGCCGCCGCCGCCTTCCCGGGGCCGGCCTGCAGCTGCGGCGAGGCGGCGGGCGGCGGGAAGGGCTGCGGCGGCGCCTGGCCGTAGGGCCTCTGCAGCGGCGCCTCCAGGGCCCCCGCGCCGCCGCCGCCCTGGAACGGGCCGCACAGGGGATCCGAGAAGAGGTCGGGAAAGTCGCCGGCCTGGTTACTGACGAACTGCAGCATCTCTGCAAAAGAGCACCGAGGAACGCAGGTTATTCTGTTCCTGCTGCGGGTGTCACCTGCCGTGGAGGCAGACRGGGAGCACGCACGGGAGGGAATTCCGGGCGCTGCAGGACTTGAGAGAAAATATTGCAGTAGTATCTCCAGAGAGAAATGRGGAAAGGGGCAGTACCGGGGCACCGCTGCTGCTGTTGAGAGTGCAAAGCCAATCCTGCTGCAGTGTTCTCCCAGACTACAGGATTCAACTGAAGACTAGAATTTAAAGCCATTGCCAGCTTATTAAAAATATTACAAATCAGGTCAAGCAAGGAAGCAAGCAGGCAGCTTCACCTTGCCAGGATTCACAGCTCTTCCATAGAGCTTTTAGGGAAGCAATAGGAAAAAAATGGAGAAATGGGGATAACAATTCACCTTAGTTTCTTTTTTATTCTAAGCTTACAGGAAAGTATGGAACAGAGAAATAAGAGGAAAACAAACTTTATTGATAGTATTGGAAAACCCATGTTTATGCTTTTTTAATCATCAAAATAATTTATTTTCAATTATTTCATTTATCCCTGCATAGTTTCTCTCTGTCCCATCTTCCCTCAGATTTTATCAGATCCATTTCAAGAGGCTTCCACCACGAAGCTGTAACTGTCCCTCGGAGAGGGAAACTCCACCACTAGGAGGTCATGGCTCGTAATTGCAAATTGGGAGAGAAACTTTCAGTTACACACCTTGGGCAACCTGAGTGCCTCCCCTGGTCCGCAGGGGTCATGTTAACCCCCCACTAAAATCTGGCCACTCTACACAGTCCCTTCCACATATTCGTTCAAGTCTTATTTTATTATGAATTCCTATAAAAAGAATAAGTTATAAGTTAGAGAGTAGACAACAAACGGATTTAAGGGAACAACATGCTAAAGGGAGCATTTCCATCCATTGGGGTGCAGCAAATGCAATGGCTATTCCCTATATGATTTAAGAAGAGGCTTAAGCTCTCCAGGAGATGTTTCAGTGGAAAATATTCCAGTAAGARGGCTGTAACATTTAGCCCTCACACTGCACTGCGCTTCTCCAAATGCCACCCACACGTTACCCAGCTCATCTGAACAGCTCTGCAGAGAGAGCAGAGCAACCTCATCCAGGCTTCTTGCTCCTTTTACTGCCATCTGATACTCTCCTTCTTTACTTCTACCTTTATTCTTAAGGAATTGAGTCTCAACAGACACAGAAATTTGGGAGGGGGGTTGTCCTCACCATCCATTTACAAGCTGTGAAGACGCTGCCGTCGCTTTGCCTGCAAGAAACCTGCTCCTCTCTGGCAATGGCCACCAGTTGTCCTCGGAGACCTACCTGATGGACCCATTTTCCTGGAGCTTGGCAAGACTAATAAGGATTTGAGGGCAAAATCTCAGTAAACTATCACAAAACTTCACTCAAACAAGAAGGGCAGCTTAAAGATTAACATTTCTGAACGCTGTCCAAAACAGATGTTTTGGACAGCGTCGACATTTTGGACATTTCGTCGACATTAGAGTAGATTTTCACCCTCAAATTCATCGCAGCTAAGACCATCCTAAATAACCCTCAGCACTACCAGCTTGTGCATGCTATCCGTTTGAGTTTCTCACCATCAGAAAAAAAAGATATTAGGTGCCACTAATCCGAGGAGGAAGAAAAATTGAACAAGGTTTGTTCTAAGAGAGCAAATTCTAGTGCTAGAGCTAGAGCTAGAGCTAGGAGCTGAATTACAAGCTCTGAATTTTTCAAGAGCATCTTGTTGAACAGAGCTCGCTTCACATCTGCTTTAAAGAAGTTCAATGCCATCTTTTCAGAGATTGGCTAAATATAAGAAAGTCTAGAGATGAACTTTCAAAAACCGGACCTTGTGGGGTAAGAAACACTCAGAATGTCCAGGAGCTTTCCCTAGTATCCACACAAGGAAAAGCTCTAGAAACAGCAAAACCCCAGTCTTTCTCTCTCTCTGCAAACGCCTCTGGCAACCCAAAGACCAGCACAAACACCAACAGACTATGGAGAGCGGCCCCGGGGCAGCCCCTCCGCCGCAACCCCGCACCACGCGCTCCCTGGGCGCGGAGGAGGAACAAGATCCCGCTGCGGAAAAGGACCTGGAGCCAACGCRGAGCCAGGAAGCGCCAACAGGACGCGGCGAATCCCGCCCAGCCTGGGCTTCCCACGCGGATTCCTGGCCGGGCACCTCCTGCGGAAGGGCGCAGCGATCCCGGGAAGCGCCCACAGGCGCCGCACGAGCCCCGCTCCGGGCTGCTCTTCAGGGAAACGCGGGAGGAACAGGCTGAGCTGCAGACATCGGGCTGAGAAAAACCCAAATACCTCGATCCAAACGCAAAAAAAAACACAACAGCAGAACAGAAACAAAGCAGCAACCAAAACTTCTTGACCCTGACAAAATTCAACTCCCTGGGGTAAGGAAATACCGAGATTACATCAAGGATAATCTGGTTCTCAAGGATGTTTTCCCCACCAGGGATGTTTCTGTAGCCAGGCGGGCTGCACTATCACAAAGTTTGGGGGAAAAGGCTCACAGAATTGCCTCAGCTTCCATGCAGGCCCTTAGAAGACACTATTTTGCACTCAGACAAAATAAGCACCATTGTTCACACACACCATGAACCTTAGCAGGGATAATTAAGCCCCTGGCCTTTCCCCAAAGCATTCTTTTATTTACCATATTGCAAAGAAATGACCACCAATGGGTGGYAATTGCCCATGGCTACCTTGCAAACCCATTGCAACCAAACTTAAAATTACTACCCRAGTCCTACTTTCCACCTATTAAACAAGGATGCTTTAGACACCCGGCTTTAATTTTCAGCCTCCATCAGATAATTAATCCAGCTGTGGTTTTTGCAGGTTTCTGTGAGCTGTTCAGGAGCAAAACAAATACCACGTCTCAACCAAGCTCTGCAGAAAAGTGGTTTCTCCTCGCTTATCTGACAGAAGTGTTAGAACAGTTTATGATGGCATAGGGAAGAAAAGGGAAAAAYCAACAGTTTGGGAAGGGAAAAAGGGAAAAATCTGCCTCATTTTTAGAACGAAGATGGGAAACAAGCTTCTCTTAAAGAAACTGGGGGCTGCACAGCTCAAGGCATTTTTTAGAAACGACTTGAAAGCAACTGGTAAAAAGATAACTACAGAAAAAAAGGAAAACAAGTGGGGGGAAAAAAGGATGCATCACTGTTTGTCAGGAGAAAATAAAATAAAATAAAATAAAATAAAATAAAATAAAATAAAATAAAATAAAATATCAAGGGAATTTCTTTCCAGTTTCTCTCTTTCCCAACTCCTTGGCCGCTCGGGCGGCGGAGCAGGAGGCGGCGCGGGAGCTGCTGGCACTCGGACAGGTGTCCCCTTCGGCGAGGGCTGCATCGCTCCATTTCACATCCTTGGGGTTTTTTGTTTTTTTTTTTCTTTTATGACTACGTTTATTACGGTAACATCGCCCGAGAGCCACCCTCGGTGACTCAGGCTCCTAAAACATC